GAGACACTCCGGTTGATCATGAACTTGATCCCTTTGAACAGAAACTGCCGAGGTATTTCCGGTGACGTTGGAACGTTGCCCCAAATTTCGGGGATGTCCGCCTTCGTGTTGGAGGGGTCTGAAGTGGCCCTCCTGTCGTCTGAAGACATCAGATGCTTTTTCTATCTCTTCCAGGTTCCCCCTGCGTGGAAAAGATTCCTGGGGTTTAACAAGCTTGTCCCCGAGGACCTCGTTCCCTCCTCCCTCACTGGGAGGAAGTGCGTCCTGGCCGCCAAGGTCCTCCCTATGGGGTTCCTTAACAGTGTTAGCATCGCCCAGCATGTGCACCGTAACGTGATTAGGAGCGTGGACCCCCTCCTTTTGACGGGAGATCAAGAGATCCGGAAAGACAAGAGTTTCCCCGTGAGCTCACACCTTTTTAGGATCTACCTCGACAACTTCGATTTCATCCAGAGAGTGGACTCCCAGTTGGCCGTCAGGCTGGAGGGGAGGGAGAGCCCGGAACAGAAGGCTGTCAGGAAGGCCTACGAGTCGGCCTGCCTGCCTCGGCATCCCAAGAAGAGTGTGGTTAGTGCTGAAAGGGCAGAGGTGCAAGGTGCGGTCGTCAGGGGCCACGAAGGGGTGGCTTATCCCCGCCCAGAAAAAGTACTGAAGTACATGGGGCTGGCGGTGGAGCTGATTGTGTGGGGCCGAGCTGGCCTCAAACATTTGCAAGTGGTCGCCGGAGGACTGGTATACATTGCTATGTTCAGGCGCCCGCTGTTCTGTGGCCTCAATTGCGTGTGGCGTCACATTGAGGTTCTAAAGCAGGGAGGTGGCAAGCCCCAGCTTCTACCTCCTGCCGTGGTGGCCGAGCTGGTACGGTTCTTGTGTTTGGTCCCTCTAGCACAACTGGACTTCCGGGGTGAGCTGGTAGGAGATGTCACTGCCAGTGATGCGTCCACCACTGGTGGAGGCATCTGCGTCACAAAAGGCCTCACGAGTTATGGGGTTCATGCCTCCCAGGCCAGTATCCGGGGGGAGTGGCCTGAACCCCATGACATGTGTCAGGTGTTGACGGTAGGCCTTTTTGATGGCCTTGGTGCCCTTCGCCTGGCCTGCGATGCGCTTGGCTTGCCTATGTGTGGGCACATTTCTGTTGAATCACATGCCCCGGCCCGCAGGGTTGTCGAAAGCTTCTTCCCAGGAACCGTGATGTGGGATGATGTACGCACCGTAACTGAGGAAGTCGTTCTGCAGTGGTCCACCCAGTTCTCCTCGGCAGGAGTAGTGCTCATAGGGGCCGGACCCCCTTGCCAGGGGGTCTCCGGGCTCAACGCTGACAAGAAGGGTGCTTTGAAAGATGCACGAAGCTGCCTCTTTGCGGAGGTGCCCCGGATTACCGCGTTGATCCGCAAATGTTTCCCATGGTGCCAGGTGAAGTTCCTCATGGAAAGTGTTGCATCCATGGATGACCGTGACAGGCATCACATGAGTGAGGCCATAGGTTTTGGGCCCTGGCATGTGGACAGTGGTCAGGTCAGTCCTTGCCGGCGTCCTAGGCTGTACTGGGTCGATTGGGAGCTGGGTGGTGGAGAAGGAGTTTTAAAGCCGCAACCGCCCGGGGCTCCTGGCAAAGATGTCGGCCTGGTGAGCTTAAGCGCTACTGTGGACTGGAAAGATTTTTTGAAGGGGGGTTGGAAGCCGCCTCCGAGTGGAGTGTTTCCCACCTTCACCACTAGCCGGCCTTCCCCCGCGCCTGGCCGCAAGCCTGCTGGGCTGGGAACATGCCAGCCACATGAGCGGTCCCGGTGGGAAGCTGACCGTCACCGATTCCCGCCGTACCAGTACAAGGACAAGTTCTGTGTGTGGAACAAGCAGGGCGACATGCGGCCTCCTGACATCGAAGAGCGGGAGGTGGCCATGGGGTTCCCGTTGGGATACACCAAGGCCTGCATGCCCAAGTCGCAACATGGCAACATCCAGTTCGAAGATTGCCGGCTTAGTCTAGTGGGCAATTCTTGGAACCTCTTCGTGATCACCTGGCTAGTATACTGGCTGTTCTTCCCGTTGGGACTGTGTGCACCGCGGTCTTTGCAGGACATCGTGAAGAGCCTCGCGCCCGGATGGTCTCCTACGTTCCAGGGAGTACTACTGCGGCCCCCTTTGAGGGCTGTCAGGGGCACCAAGGTTGACTCATCATTGAAGCTCGTGAAGAAGTTCCTGGGAGTCATTTCTATAAAAGGAGAGGATCTCCTTCTTCAGGCTTCTACCGATGTCCATGTCCGGTTCCACAGGTTGCGAGCATCTATCCCCAGCAGATTGTGGCGGTGGAGAACTGTGGCCGGATGGACTTGGAAATCACATACGGACCACATCAACGTTTTGGAATTGCGCGCCATCCTGAGCACCGTCAAGTGGCGCCTCGAGCAACGTGGACAGATGCACAAGCGATGGATCCATCTCACTGACTCTCTGGTTTGCCTGCACAGCCTTTGTCGTGGCCGCACGTCGAGCCGCAAACTTCGTAGAACCCTCACCCGAATCAATTGCTTACTCCTCGCGACACGCTCCCAGCCCCTATGGGGGTATGTGCACACGCACCAGAATCCGGCCGACAGGCCAAGCAGGAGAGGTGTCCGTCGCAAATGGTTAAAGCAATGAAGCACGTTGAAGGGAGGTCGCAACGGGAGCGAGCGAAGATTCGGAAAGATTTGGGTTCACTCAAAAGTTTAACTGTGCAGCCAGCCACGCGTACCAGATATGAGAAAGCTCGGACGCGTTTTTTGAAACATTTGCGGGATGGAGGGATCGCAATCCCAAAGCAGAAACTTTTAATGGATGAGTTGGTCTCCGATTATATCGAGACTCTGTGGTCCCAGGGAGAAGGCAGGGCTTTGGCTTCAGATACCTTAGCCGGACTGCAAGATTTGGACCCCAGCCTCCGCCACCAAATGCCCCAAGCATGGCGCCTCATGAAGGCCTGGAACAGCAATGAGATACCAAACAGAGCTCCCCCGTTCCCGGAGAGCCTTTTAAAGGCCATGGTGGGCCGATGCTTGTTCCAGGAAAACCACGGAATGGCTCTTTCTCTGCTTGTCGGATTTTATGGCTTGCTACGCACTGGAGAGTTGCTTAGCATTCAAGCTCGTCACGTTTCCGTGAGTGCGGATCACAAAACCGCGGTTGTTTCGCTGGGGTGGACAAAGGGAGGCAAACGTCAGGGAGCTGCCGAAAGCTGCACAATCACCGTATGGGATGTGGTGCGGCGTCTTGAACAGTGGGTGCTTTCAGTGCCCAGCGGCTCCTATATGTGTGCCTCCCCGTCTACCTGGCGAAAGACTTTTAATCAGCTCCTGGCTGACATTCGAGTGACTGAGTTTGAGTTTCGGCCATATAGCCTGCGCAGGGGTGGCGCTACTTTTTGGTTCCAACGTCATGGCCAGTTTGACAGGTTGTTGGTCCAAGGCAGGTGGCAGGCAGCGAAGACTGCCCGCATTTACCTGAACGAAGGGCTGGCTATGTTAGCCGAGATGAGATTCTCTCAATCCCAACTGAGTGCTTGGGTTCGCTTATACCAAAACGCACTTAGAAGTGCGCTGCCGAGGCTCGAGCGAGCGTCGAGACGCAGTACAGGGGGACGTGGAAAGAGGTCGAAAAGAGGGAAAAAGGGGTGGTGGCTAGGCTGTTCCGGAGTTTCTTTTTCAGACGGCCTCAAAATTGCACCTGAGCGCCCTAGTTTCTTCCGGCTTGGCGGAAGAGCTAGGGGGGGTGCGGGGGGGGATTTCCTCTTTCTTCGGCTTGGCGGGAAAGGGAAATCCTGAGGCCCCCAGTTTGACAAGAAACGGGCAAGGGGCCCAGGGCTAGTTAGCCACCACAAAGAGGACGTAACTTTTTATTTATGACAAAGTTGGACTTGCTGTGCGCAGAAAAAGTGCGGCTTACTCTTTATATATATACACATGTATGTCTGAGTTGTACTTGGTTGGACCCGTTGGGCATTTTTTTCACACGACCCCAGCCATTTTCGAGGGTGCTCCTTTTCATACTTTCATACTACCACTCTTGGGTAGTTGAAACATCATCTTTCGGTCGCTATGTTCAAATAAAGAACCCGCTTGGTGCGGTAGGTTTGACCCGGCGTTATTCACCTTTGTCATAGAATTCCAGCCCTCCCTACGCTAACTACCCCGTCCTGTGGTTTCCTCCAAACAAGGCCATGACAAGGCCGGAGCTGACAGTTTGGTTTGACACCTCAGGTTTTTTCGATGGATCATAAACGACTTTATGGAACATGGGAGTTGATTTGACGTGACTGGGTTGTGACGGGTGTTTTTGCATTAGTGGCACCTTCAGCAAGTAGATGCTTGCACAAGGGGATCCTCAGGCAAAATGGAGACCACCACAGCGTTTGTGGCAACTGAGGCGTTGGCCGATGCTCTGTGATATTGCGAGGGTACAGGTGGCGCAGCATCGCAGGGATGACCTATATCGCCATCCCAGAAATGAATGTCGAAACCACGAAGCCTTCCAATCCGTTGGGCAGGCTATGCTTCCCCAAACACCATCATTCTTACAAACATCTTCTTTTCGGACCCTAAGACCCCCCCAACCCATTTATGGGTTGCACGTCAATCTGCAGGGGTTGGTCTTAAAGGGCAAAGGTTGGCCAACTTCCTTGTGAATCAATCCCCGCAGGGTCCCTAGATTTACGGCTCATGCACCCCCCCAAGTCCTTGTCGCAACGTGCATGGCAGGCAGAACCGCGCAAGTGACAAGCACGCCAACGAGTAGAAGCTGGCAGCCACGTTTCTCGCAAAGGTCTTCCCATGCCTCGCTTGGGAGGTCCCAGGAACATGGTTCAAACCGACTCAACAGTGGCAGACACCGAGGAAAGGGAACCCAAAGACGGTACCGAAACGCATGGCACAAGCCGAAACCCCGGCGAGCCCTTTTTCGAGGAGCGCACCGACGCGATGTTCGGGGAGATGGACTACTTGGCCCACTCTGTGTGCCATTTCATGGCAGGCGCCTTCAGAATGCATTGGGAGAGATGCCAAGGTGGTGAAAGTGAAGGTGGGGCTTGGCTTTTTGTTTGTCTGTTTGTTTTGTTTTCTTGCTTCTTTCTTTGGTTTGGCTGTTTCTCCTCGTTTCTGAAAAAGGCATGATGTGGGGCACGCTCAAGAACCACCTGGAAGCCCGGCAATCTTTTTCTAAACCCAACGGACGCCAGGCATTGCGGTCAGGTTCTTTCAACCAACCCCACGGAGAACCAAGCGCTTCTTGAACGGACACCAGCGGAGAGCCATCTCTTTCACTATTCCCCCCGATTTACATGGAAACCAATAAGCTTTCATGTCCAATGGAATCCTCGTAGTTAGTTCCAAGTTGATGTGGGGAGCAAACTTGTCCCTGGGTCCAAGTATGACAGGAGGTACCCTTTTTAAGCCCTCAATCACCCTCAAATGCCAATGCCTTGGGCAATGTGCCCTACTGTCCACTAACGTGGGGGGCCCCTTTAAATATATCTCTTCCAGCACCCAAGACGTGAGGTTTCATGGCCTGTCCACATGAAACCCAGAAGAGGGTCCCTTTAAAGGGAAGATCGTCTTCACAGAAACGTCAGGTGTCATGGCAACGACGGGGGAAACCGACCGATTCTTTTCAGGTGCTCGGGAGGACCACCTCCATGATCTGATCATGTACCCTGACGCCCGGCTCACCGATGAGGCCTCCGCAGTTTCGGTTTGGCACTCGGTTTAAGGCACAAAACGTCACTCCCGGAGTTGGACTTGACCCATTTGGGAAGGTGGCAAAACAAAAAGTTTGAGGTTACTTTGGATTCACTCAGGGGAGGAAGGACAGGTGTCTTTGGATGTGTCTTTGGAAGGACAGGTTGACAGGTGTCGGACGTGTTTGTGATTTGGACACCCGGCGGGGAGAAAAGATTGCAAACAAACCCCAGCGGAAAGGTTGCCCGGTTGCCCGGCTGGGCAATTGTTTTGCTGGTTTTCAGCAGGCAACGAGGGAATGAGCCCTATAAACCATCCCCTATGGCTTCCTTTAAGGAACCCCTGGGTTCATTCCCAACACCGGGAAGGTCATTGCCTGCCTATCGCACCAGCAAGCCGAGTTCCCTTACAGCTTTTATACTCCAACAAAGTGGGTAAGAAAAGCAGAGCGATCTACCACTGACCTCCACCCTGCCTCAAGCAGATTTCCTCAAAACCTGATCATTCCAACAGGAATAGTGTCAGCACCCCGACTCCTCAATAATGGGAAAGGGGGGGGGTGACCCCTGGGATTCCGTTGAATACTAGACGATGGAATACTAGACAATGGAATTGCGGGAGACCCCCCGCCCCTTTCCGTCATGGTAGGGGGGATGTGTCGCCCAACTCCCGTTGAGGCACGATGGCAAGGCTTTCTAGCAATGGAAACCAGAATTAAGGCGTTTGACCGAGCCAACCAGTTTGGCCCGGAAGCCTTTGCTTGCAGTAAACATCTTCCGAATTTCTTCCGCTGCACGGGGCAACATGACAGTACTTCTGTAGCCCTCAATGGATCGGCCCCCTTTACCTTTTGACGGGATGCCACGCAAAAGGGTCTGGTCATGACAACGAGCTCACCTGGGGGTGACACGAGCCCACCCGTGATCAGGGTCCTGCACAGGGAGCTTTCCTCAATTCAAGTTTGGACATTGTAGAAAAAAAGGCCGAGAAAGGTTGGGTTGTTTGGATTGCTTGTGACGGCCGTATGCGAAGGTAGACAATGTATGAAGACTCCGAGGTTGACGTGAAGCGATTCCCCGGATTCATACACCTGGCAGTTCAGCCTTTTCGCGAAGGCCACTTCCTTTGGGTCCTTGAGTCACTCCCAGATTCACACGCCATGGGTTCCGAGTTCCGAGCACTGGCCTTTTTGCGCCCTCGGCATTTGGAGGGAACAGCAGCCACTAATGTCCTGACGAAGGAAGGCGGTGGAAGATCATTTTGACTGTATCATTATTCAGATGTGTAGTCTACAGTTGGTTTTAGGAGGATAGCAAACCAAACTTTAGAGCCTCTGGCTCAGTCCGCCGACATTGTCCTCTCCCTTTTCTCCTTCTTCCTCTCTCCCTTGTCTCCTCCCCCGCGTGTTTTGTCGTCCTCTCTCCCTCCCTCTGCTCCCCATCCTCCCCATCCCCCCAAGCCTCTCTCTCCTCAATCTACCTGTCTCTGTCTCGCTCTATCTCTCCCTCTCTCTCTCTCTCTGTTTCTCTGTCTCTCTCTGTCTGCCTGTGTCCTTCCTGTCCACGCCCCTCTACAGAAAAAGGGTACCCTTATTCTAACCTCTCTACTGGAGGACCTAGTCTCTCTCTCTCCTCTCTCTCTCTCTCTCTCTCTCTTTCTGTCTTTCCGTGTCTCTCTCTCTCTCTGTGTCTCTCTCTCTCTGTGTCTCTTTCTCTGTCTCTTTCTCTGACTCTGGCTCTGTCTCTGTCTCTCTCTCTCTCTCTCTCTCCCTCTCTCTCTCTCTCTCTTTCTCGCTCTCTGTATCTCTCTCTCTCTCTCTGCATTGCAGCGTCAACTCCCCCCTGAGTTGCCTCGATGTCCAGGCACTGCCCCTTCATGACCCTGAACTGTCATCTCACTACTGGCTTCCCCCTTGATTTCTCCTTCATGTCCTGTTCACGTTTCCCATGATGTCCTGGTCATGTCCCTTCCATTCCTTTCAACTCCCCCTTCATGTCCCTGTCATTTTCTCGGTATGTCCGCTTCATTTTCCATGCATGTCCCGTTTTTTTTTGTTGCGAGTCATTTCCCTACATCTGCCGTCGTGCTGATTGGTTGCCTTGTCCTTTGTTTCCCTTTCATTCCCCCTGCACTCCCCTTGTTTTCATTTCTGTCCCTTTCAGGTCCCTTTCAGTTTTCCCTTTCATTTCCCGTTGCTTTCTTGTCATGTCGACTTCCTATTTCCTCCCCTCATTTCCTTGCACTTCCCCACGTATCAGACGTCGGGCGGGGGGGGGGGGGGGTTATCCTCTATCCTCTCTTAGGTTTCCGACACGCCGAGCAATGTCGGCGGATTTCAAGCACGAAAACCAGGTCTCCTGTTCTGTTGGGGAAGAACTTGTCATGTCATTTTGTCCGCCGCGCAGGCAATTTTCAGCTACTAAATTGGATCAATGCCTTCAGATGGTTCTGTGGCAGATGTTCTATTAATGTATCTAACTTTTTTTTTTTCTGACGCTATGTTCAAATTAACTTGTGTTGAAATACAATTAGTTTTTAACCGAACGATGTATGAAATGATTGAACAAGGATCAACAGGAGGAATGCCACAAACACTTTTCGGAATGTAGAAGAAATACTATTCAGATGGGTGGCAAACTCTTAATGAACAGTCTGGGCAAGTCTGCCACATTGGAAAATGAGCCCACTTTCGGTAACATCCATCTGGGGTCATTCTGTCAAGAAAAATGGGGGTCATGACCCTGAAGGGGAAGGGGTCATGTGCCCTATAAACACATAAGAAGTCCAAGTCGCAAGGAACAAAGTCATGAAGGGTGACTTAGTTTTTTACATGGGATGTCAAAATAGGGGGACCCCAAAAATGGAAACGACTCGCGAACAAACACACCCAGTGGAGACCAATGTAATCACACCCGGCACTGAGTTGTCTTCGAGATGCGACTGTGATGTTCTCTTATGTTTTGCTGTTAAAATGTGGCCACATTAATTTGTTGTTCATAGTCTTCATCACTAATGTCATCCTCGTTCCATTGACTGTAAACATCGCTGTGAGAGTCCATTGCAAGGGTGTGAACAATAAAGCAAGCAAGGCCTCTTCTGCTTCGCCTACGCATCTTCGATTTCTCATCTCAACTGATGCGCAAATCCTATTCACCTATCAACTTAAAAACCAGTGCCAGTACCTGCTACGCATCTTCCGTCTCTCATCTCAACTCATCTGCAAATCCCCTTCGTTTGTCAGCTCAAAAGCCTTGGCCAACACCCAAACATCTGCTCACATCTTATATCCCCTGATCAACGCCACGATCTGTTCTGCGCAAAACCTGCTAAGAATCATGCAACACACTGGTATATACAGTGTTTCTTCAATATCCAAGTGTTTAGCGTGGATTTCTAAAACATGTTCTATCAATTACTCATCCAATGTCCATATGCTAACCTATCAACTGCATTTACCGCACACAAGTCCCAAATAATGCTCAGGTGCACAACCAAACAGGAATGACTGAAAGCAGACACCTTAAAGCGCTTTCGGATCTAAGATTCAAGATTTCCAGGACTCTAGATCTTCAATCTTGACTCCAGTGTGGGCCCCCCAAACGCTTTAGTTTTAAGCGCAATTCTCCGTGCAGGAGATGCGGGTGCTGCGTGCGCACGGGGAGATGGCCAGCATCACGCGGGTGCACGTGGCACGTCTCACCACCGCCTTTGGTGTGAGCCGGGAGCCCCGGGATCCGAAGGACACGTGCGCTAGAAACCGTTTTGGATGCGCCTACAGGTGGATTTCACCTGTTCTTCCCTCTGTTGGTCCTTTTTTAGCAGTCTTTTAGTACTCTTTTTTGACCACCTACAGGGGTGGAACCACAAAAACCACATCCAAACCGTTTTCTGGACACTTGCGCTGTTGGCTTTTTGAGGGCTCCGCTTTTGGGCTGGCTTTAAAAGGGGAGACCAACAGGAACGCCGAACTCCAGGTTTGGGGGAGTGTTTCAAAGCGAATTCAATCTATTGGGGTGAATGGCCTTTTTGGCTTTGTTCAGGCTTCTGGCACAGACCGACGGCTCATCTCCCACCGCATCATTCGCTGAAGCTTCCAGTTTTTTCCAGTAGAGATATCCCGTGCCATATGCATTTGGTGCGACCTTGCGGGGAAAATTTAGCCTTGCGTTATTGCACATCAGCTAGACACAAACGGGTTTACTTCGATTTTCACGTTTCCCAGAAGAGGATCGATCCCCCAAGGCGGTGAAGCAGTTTACTTCTGATTTCAGGCCGAGCGAGAAGAAGCG